TTATTTATTGTCGCATTTAATAATAAATCATATCCAATCCCTCTGATCCGATTACGATAGCTAATAACTAAATAATATATCTGCGCGCAAAGCAAATAGAAACAAATATTAATCTCACCATTGTTGGTTGTCGGCGATCCGTAAACAATAATTCGCGTCGCAGTGCAAAATTAATTTTTACGACCGCGTCGATTAAACGCTCGGTAGCCGCGGCGCCGCTCGAAAGCATGGGACGGGGGGCTAATGATTCATCAATTTCAATTTTGATGATTTACGCGCCTGCGAAATTACGCTCGGACGTTTTGCTGCGAAGAAATACGATCGGCCTGCGTAATCATCGCGCGAGCGCAATGCATCAAGCCTCTCTCGTTCAATCGACCGGCTTTTTTTCCCACCCATTTTCAACGAACCCTCGTGAGTGCGTTATTGCACCGAGCGGGGCCGCCTGACGGTCGCGTATCGAGAGCGCGCGGTCGCATCGAGCCGCCTGCGCCTGCTGCATTATTTCCGACATAATCGCATTCGTCCGCGGTTTATCGGCTTGCCGTTAAATCGATATATCAGGTGCGCGCAGAAGGATAACCTGCCAAATGAGTTCCTCCAATGGAAATTTGTTCATCCACATTTGTCGTTTATTCGGTGTGTTTGAAAGCTCAACGACATACCTTATCTTCACGTACACTCCAATATGTCCACTCAGAGGAAAACATAGTAGTAGCAATTATAAAGATAACAACTATAATTTTTATATGTAGAATTAATGTACGCATTTTAATGAACTAATGTAGATATATAATTGAAGAAATTATTTTATGGTTACACACATCAGTAACTACAGAATAGTTTATTTAACTGTGTACATTAATTCCATTTATAAAACTTGTACTGTTTTCACTTTTATAATTTGTTCATTGTGTGTTTTTTTTTAATGTGTTATATATAATTCGTTTGAGGGCGGCTAAAATGTCAGAAAAGATGAATAGAAACGTTGAACTAAATAAATAAGAAAGATTTAAACGAAAACAAGAAATTTTTTTTCGTAACGTACATGGAAAACAATACACGAATGCATATATATGCACTGCACGAAGATTAAAATATATTAAATGTACCATGTAAAAATGTACATATCGCGCTGTGCGTTTGCTTTATGTGACGCGCTTTATTTGATGATAGCATAGAGGCACTTCAATATATGGCTCATCGCAATACACTTCGTTCGCAGAGCCATGGCAAGCGTCGTTTTTAATCACCGCGAGCACCGACACTAAAGGGAAAACCCGACAGTTATTGAGCTATTCAACTCGTCGTGGGTGGTAACGCGAGTAACGCAGATCCAGTAAATCTCCATGTAAAATCGGCGAGCGTGCGGCAGCGGTTCTAGATGCTTCGATTTACCGTGTTTTTGCTTCCGCCCTCGCTGGTGGCGATATAACATGGTGAAATGGATCAACGCGTCGTAAACGAATGGTGAGGTATGAAATGGAATTTACACAAGTTTTTAATTACCCGAGCATCGTCTTGCAAGACCGAAACTTTCTCTCTCTTACTCTTCTACTTCGATTTAACGAAGAGCAGCAGTTGCCAGCAGCGTCAGTGCTCGTAGAGCACAAGTGTTTTCACCCTTTCGAACATTCGGCTCGGCGCACAACCCCGTCATTGTTGTCGTCGTCGTTCCTTTTGTACCGCGTTCCCAGTCGCAATTTATAGCCATTGCGCGAGAAACACTCTCTCAGTCCCTTTCCCTCTTTTTTTTTTCCTCTCCTTTTTTTCTTCTACAACGAAGTCGATTTCTGCAACTTAGCTGGCATCCCTGTTTTATTAGACGTAATCTGTATTTACGATCGCCCGCTCCAGAGATGAACCATTTTATACCGCTGTTACATCGTCAATGTTCAATGATGAAAATAGGTTATTGGTGTGATCGATGAAAATTATAGATTTTAGTTGAAGCTGTATTATTGATTTTGTATGTATTATTAATGTTCTTACTTCATGTTTGCTTATAAATTTAAAAATAACAAGAAATTATTATCTGAATAAGATTTGACTGCTATCGAAACAAACGTGAATAAGAAAGGTTTTATGCAGTCATTAATATTATATAATTGATGAAATTTTTCCATCGATGACGACCGCAGCAATTTCGCGACTGTGAGTGAAAAATACGGTATTGTATATTATCAATCAATGGACAGTAGAATCGATTAATCTGCCATTCAGAGAACCGTCGTTGCAAAAGTGGAGCTCATTGAAAAATTCTCCTCGAGCGAGCATCGAGTTCGCGAACGAAATCGACCGCGCTTCTCTCGCATCGGTAACGCTCGAAGGTTTCTTCCACGACTTTTCTAGGGTAGACTGGAGAAGTATCGACCGGAAATCTAAGGCTGCAGAGCTTTCCAAAAGGGAAGTATCGCGGCCGAACCGACGATCCGAAGAAAAAGAAACCGGTCACTTATCGAGCCTTCTTCACCAATGGTTTTCACCCACAAACCTCTTGAAACTTCTTTTCACGTCCGGAAAGCCGCGTTATCGCCGGATATCAACCTGGACTGCTGCATCCTCGGAATAACGCTTCATCCGATCATGCGTACAGAGTGGAGCACTCGCTTTTCCAGGAAGAAGAGTACTTGCAGATTCTAGTCTAAAGGATTTCTTTGTTGAGAAGAATCGATCTTGATGTGATATTCAGTGGCAAATATCATTTATTTGGAAAAGCACGAAGCGACATGCGGATGTTTTGGATGATACCAATCGATTCTGTTCGAGAGAAGACTCTGAGTAAGCTGTAGAGATATATAAATTAAAGATTAATAGAGACAGAGATAGGATTTGGAAACGTATTTTGAAAAAAATTTTTTATCTTAAAGTTTGCGTGATTAAATTGCGAGATAATCGTAAAATGAAGTCGTGAATAAATTGACGAATTTAATATTACTCTTCGTCATTAAAGTGAAATCATCGCTGAAATACGGGCTGTTGGAGCTTCTGCGAACATACATCGACAGTTTGACAGAAGTGAACCCATTCAGTCAGACTCGGACTCGACAGGAATTGATAACGAGCTGCTGTTTGAATCCAAGCAGTCCACTTCGCATGAGGGTTCCGTTTTAGCTAAATCCTCCGATCTCAAGAGCAGGATCCATTTGCCCGAGTGTGTCCAATTTCCCGCCGTCACCACGATTGTCAAGCGTATCTTTTTTCGAGATTTGAAAGAAAGAATTACGTACGGCCGAAAAGCTACCTTTTACTCGCAGATATCACGTAACCACGTAGAGATCGAAGAAGATACGAAGAAGGAGTAAGTTGACCGTTATATCGAACGCTTTTCCATTCTCTCATCTATCCCGCTTTCTCGTCAATTGGGGAGGAGCGAAATTCGCTCATGCGTGAGGGGTGAAACAACTACACGATCGAAAGTACACGTCCCGATGGGACGGAATCGCGTTTCCAGTGCGGCACTATCAAGAGAGAAAAAGAGAATGAGAGAAAATAGGAACGTCAGCATTACGTAGCTCCACGAGGAGTTTAATGGAAGAAGGAACGGGGATGACAGAAGTCGCCGGAGGCGATATCTAGGGACGGAACTCGGTCACTGAAAATTGAAAGAGCAAGGTGTAGCCACGATCTGGAAGCGGGCGGTAATTATGAAATAGTTCCTGAGATATATCGGAGGATCTACGTTCTCGACCACTTGGAGACAGACGTCTTTTATACTTTTATGAAAGTATCATCGTCGTCGAAGTGCGCCCGGGACCAATCGCTTAGCTTCCTTCTGTATTAAGGCAGTATCGATTATCTTTATTCTTCTCGTTGATACGCGAAAGAATTGGTGCCTTGGTTGATTCGCTCTAATATTTACACGAGCTCCTGAGCTCGAAGAATTCTTTTTCGCTCCGCTTGAGAGAAAAGCGGATTGTGAATTAAGAAATTAGCTGTTTTACTTCTGATTGGATAACTACTGCCTAATTAACAAGCGTTTATCAAAAAACGAATAAAATAAACCGCCAGTAGATGGAAACGTTTGTATTCGACATTGGTTGTTTAACATTGCAGAAGAATTGGTTAAAAAGAAGAAACTAGCTTCGTTTATACGAATCTTGAAATTATACTCGAGGATTCTGAATCTTTAAAAATTTGAAAGAATTTATAAAATAACATAAGTAATAGTTCTTTCATATAAAAGCATAAAATTCTATATCGCTCAGACACTTATCGACCAGCCTTCATAAAGAACGGTGCCTTGTCCATCATGTGCTCATTTTTCGATCATCCGTAAGTCGAGCTTTATGTGTTTGAGAATGATAGAAAAAAAAAAAGAATTGATATAATTTGGCCGCACACGTTTTATTGGATATCCAGAATATTCTTTGTCCATAATTGCGGGACATGCGTATTAAGTTTACGAAAAATATGAAGTGTCACATTGCCTCTATCCCCGGCGAGACATTTGCAGAGTACGGATCTTAATTTCTACTGGATAAAATTGTCGGAAAGTAAAGCCAACGAGATGTGAACGAGATCGTCCATTGATTCCGACTATTTCGTAACGAACGAGTGAAATTGCTTTTCTGTAGCTTGGTAACGCGATAGGAACTTTGAGATTAGGTTAGGAAGGAAGACACTACGCGACAAATATCGGAAGCTGCCAAAGTGAACACTGATCTCTCTTGAGAAACAGTCAAGTCCAATAAGCGATAATGGTTAGTATGCGAGAGACTACGAAATTATAGGCGAGTTCCTGATTCAATTCTAATCGAAGTAATCTTTTCTCGAAGATAACAATCCACTGCCAATGAGAGCCTAATAATTCTGTATATTACAAGATCGAAAGAGAAATATAAGGGTAACGTCGATGACGCAATTTGAAAAATACATCGACACTCATTATTTCATATTTGCAACCCTATAAAAATAGGAACGTACATTAAAGAGAAGGGAGGGAAAAAGGTGTAGAAAAAAGAAAGAGAGCTGGACAAATCCGCACCGAAGTCGGTGATATGTGTCGTGCTGGCTCCCGGAGCCTCGATGATCTTGACTCCGCGAGCATGAAGCACCCATCGAGGTCAGCGGGTCTCGAGGTTGCTATGGCGCTTTTCGGCATGATTTGGCTGCTGCGCGTCCGCTCTGAGATGCGTCGTTGCTCGAAATGTCGGCACGAAGAGATGCTCGCACAGCAGCAGCAACAGCATCAGCAGCAAGTGCAGTTGCACCAGCAACAGCATCATCACCACCAGCATCACCAACAACGTACCCTGTCGCAGGCTACCAGCTTGTTGCAGACGATGTCCGATGACGGCGTTAGCTCTTCCGCCAACACCCTCTTTACGTTGGACACTCCGGGAGCGGCTGGCCCGGCCGGAAGTTACTGCGAAGTACACGGATACGTTCAGGCGAAAGAAGGTAGAGTGTTCTTCATGTTTCTTTAATAGTTACTTTTATCGGTTCGATTTTTCAATTAATGTACTCTGTTAATATTGTAAAATTAAATTTTGTAGGATATAATTTTACGTTGTATGAGACAAAGTTTTATAATTCTTTCACTTCAAATTATCAACCGCATATCATGTGTATTATGCTTATTTTTTGTTAATACGCACTTTTCAAAAGTTTATTGTCTTTCAACTGTTCGAATGTATAAGTTTCGTGGAAAAATTTCGTGCTACATAGAGAATGGAAGTAGACAAGAAACTTTTGTAGGAATGATACGGAATATAGCTGACGGTGCGTGACTTCTATTGTTCATATCGCGATAATACCAAAGAGCGATAATAAAGGAAATCGTGTTCCATGAAATAAAAAAACGAACCTAATGCAACTCTGTCGCATTTTCGCTAGCTTGAAATACGACTAAACTGATATGCTGCAAAACACGTTGCAGTATAATGTCTAACGGAAATTATCGACATACAATTGTCATAACATGTCGAGTAGCTTGTTTCGCTTATTCTTCTTTCTCACGGACTGGCCTGGAACACGACCTACTTTGATTCCAGTCGCTTCTCCGCCATAAATTCAGAAAGTTTTTGCACTTCCGTTTTTCGATCTTGCTACAGTAATGCGGCCCCGGCATATTGCAAGAGCATAAGAAAACTTTGCCGAGTACGTGTCGTGATGCAGCCAAAACGTGGAGCGCTCGCTCGTTAGGAAATATTATCGATGAGACAGTGATGGATGGGGCGCGCTCGTGCATTTCAGAGCAGTATTGTGCGGATAATAAAAAAGATTTATAAAAAGTAGTACAGTTCGATCGGCGCGCGCCGCACGATAATGTCTGTTGGAAAATCGAATGGAACTTCCGTTTGTGGCGCGATTCGCGCATAAAGGGAGCTGCCAACGAACTGTTGTATTGTATTTATCAACGCCCTTCATCTGCCAGCCGCGACTATATTATGGTGAGTTGCGGAGTTTGTTACACACGCGGCTTTTATGCGACGTTATTGTCCCGTGAGTAGCACAAGGGCTTTCCTGTTCGCCTAAATGTTCGCGAAGGCTTGAAAAATCAACCTCGATATGTCAAACTAATGATGATGATGTATGGAACGACAATCGAGAAATGTCTAAAATTAATAGTTGTGACTTTCTTATAAATGTGGACGAGAAATGAAATGAATCAAACGTTACGTTGTTTTTTAAGAATACGTAGTAAAAAAGAATACCTATATATCTTGATACAAACTTATAAAAATAAATATAATAAATGTGAACGTTTTTTTGTTACATGACACTTTGTAATATGTATATATTCAAAAGATCTCTGTATAGGCAGTAATTTCCATGAAAGAATTTATTTGGAATTCATTGAAGATACAGTTACAATTACTGATGTTATAGAAGATGTATTTAATACTTTTTTTAAAAGCATCTCGATTGGAGATTTAAATGATTATTTCGAGAACATAGACAAATTTTTATCCCTTTTTGTAATTACTTCTACAAATTTATTATAATTATATTTATTTGTATTTTAATAAAAATGATAGATTTTTTTATGTAGTATAATATTTAATTCATTTCATGCACGTTACTCAAAATAACAACTATTTAATTTTAGCAACTTTCTGATTGTTATTTATCTTACAGATTTAGATCGTGAAGAGCAAATGTTAATTGGCTTTTCATCACGGCAGTCTTGAACTGGAAAACGCTATGAGATGGCATACGAGACGCTAACACATGTTACCGTGCAAGACGGAGTTTAACAGATGAGCGAGTCATTTTCGGATTATTGTAACAGTCGTTCTTAGCACACAACTAAAGCTTAGCAAGCATTAGTCTTTCAAGTACATACATTAACAGACAGCGACGAGAGTTACTTACTACTACATAGTATTCAAGTGAAAGTCGACTTTAGTCTACAATAATAGGATTAATTTGTGTCTATTCATGTAGACTTCTGTAGATTATTACATGAGCATGCACTGTAAAATGAACTGAGGACAGTTAATACTTAACCCTCCGTCTGCCATCTGGAATTTTGCATTTTTTCCAGCAATCTGGATCTTCAATACAGATTTTTATATTATTTTCTGGACTATAAAAGAATCTGAAAAAATTCTTGCATATCTGTGAAAGTTTCAACAATAAATTTTTTCCGTCATCTCTCTCTCTCTCTCTCTCTCTTTCTCATGGATAGAATTGTATTTTACTTTTACCTATTTTTTATAGATTTAAAATTATATAGATTTAAATTTATCTACTAGACTTCACAATCAAAATATTGACTGTATTTTCAACTTAGTCTATAAAAGGTTAATTATTATAGAAGAATTTAAAGAAGGTATAATATTAACTAAAGATTCGTTTTAATCTCGGTATTAAGATATGTTGAATTTAGTCGATTAAAGATGCATATTTCATTTTTCATAGTATAACACGCACACTCTGTAAGTGCAATTTTATTTGTCATTTCGATAAGAGGAAAGAGGAGGAAACCGAATTTTACTGAAGTTAAAAACAGATAAGCCGGAAAGAGGCTTAGTAAATTTTTTATTCTTCTTGAATAATCACCTTAGTCGTGCGTCGTGCCGACAAAGCCGCGCTTTTGCTTGTCTGCTAGTTACATCGCGATGTGTGTAACTAAAATCCGCAAAGCTTTTCCGTATAGAGCGACAGATGAAGAGAGAAAAGAATCTTTTGCCTGCTGGATTGTCTCCTTTCTCTCTTTGTCTCGGATCAGTCCGTGGCCGCAGTGACATCACACGCACACCTGTAGGTATATGTATCACGTACGACCTAGTTATGAAATAGTTCTCCTCGCGCACAGTATAACGGTGACTCAGCGATATCGCGCTTTAAAGCTGAAAGCATGTTCGTGTTGTGTTGGAACGGTGGCCGCCGTATTGTTTCGAGTTTATTATCTTCCATCCAGCCTGCAGTTGTCCCGCGGGGACACAGAGGGGTTAGATAAAATGGAACGGAAGAACACGTTGAGAAAGTAAGAGACAGAGGAAGGAAGATCGGAAAAAAGTTTCGGACTTTCGTGATAATAACACCGGCGCGTTCTGCAACCCCAGGACGCAATTTTTCCGTAGATGCAAGGTTCTCTAACTGAAAATAATTTAGACGTTACGTGATACCTCGAAATCGATTGCAGTTGAGTATATTATCTCTCCCAAATCGGAATTGTAATATGGTAATTAGAAGGAAGCATTATAAAGGAAAAAACAGAGAAAAACTTTGGTTTCTTGGATATATTTCTGCAATAAAATAGTCGTCTATCAAGCTTTAATAATAATCCTTCTCTTTGATGGAAGTTTTTTATTCGGAAATACTGAAGCAAAACTTTGCCTGAAAAAGATTCGAGCCAATTAGATACCATTAAACGGTTATGATAGACAAAAGAGGTATGCCTTTTCATAATTTGGAATATATATGTGTGCTGCAATTTCGTGCATAAATAAAGGTAGTTAGGCGAACCAGTCTGTCGCCTATGCTGTACTAATGAGTATAATTAAAAAAGTCTCTTCCTCAACATGCGTTCTGCGTACGTGACATGTTATATTAAACGGGAATTTCGCAATTATCTGCGAAATAATAATGTACTTTTCACTATTCATTAATACTATTCATTATATGTGTGTGTTGACGTAAAAATTGATTTAAATTTAAATATTCTTTTATAGATTTGATTCAAAATTCATGAAATAAACAACGCAATATACGTATATTAGTTAATAAAGAAAATTAAAACATCACGATCAGAAAGTAGTGCAGCTAGAAACGTGATTGATATGTTTACCAATATTTAGTAGTATTTGTTACTAAAATATAATCTTCTGCAAATAATTGAGAAAGATATTCAACAAACGTAATTAAGGTACATGGAAAAGCTGGGAAAGCTGGAAAAGCTATTTCAGTACTTTCGTAGTCAAAGGACAAAGGCTGCACCGATTTCAAACGTTTGTCTCAGGTTTAATTTTAACCGCTATTTTGTGTGTATATTCTGACAAAATGTTTAAAATTCTTTATATATTATATGCGGAACGAGAGGAGAATATTCTGTTTGTAACAGATTTGTAAAATAATTGTAAGAAAATATTATTTTTTATCGTTTGTAAATTTGTAATAAAATGGTAGGTATTTACATCTTTTCTGATGGTAGACGAAACATTTCTTCGCATTTTTATAACGAGCGAAATCTCGAAATTTTGTACGCCTAAATTATCTCGAGTAAGTTAGTTAAATATTATGCATGCACTGTTTATCTTATTTTTGTATAATCGATTCTTCTATTTATACGAACATTAAATTCACGATAATAGTTGTTCCTATGTTCCTACAATTTCATGACCGAATTACTTCTAAAATCACTCTCTAAAAACTTTTAGAGAACATTAGGCGCGACTATTATTCGTTACTGTTACGATTAAATGCACGGAAGATGGTCGAAAGAAGCTCGCCGAGAAAAGCAATTTGCGAGCTACTTTCGATCGATTATCTGAGCAGGATCTTCTCTGTCTTAAAAGTTATAATTTTACATCCGAGAATTCTCACTAATCTCATTCAGATGTTTCATAAAATTTCCTCCGAAAATTTCTGCAATTAGTCATCGTGTCTCACCGGTTCCAAAATTACATTTTGAAAATTAAAGTTATCAAATTGGAGAAATAAAAGCGGACATCATATAAGTTAACATATTAATCTAATTACATTTGTCTAAAGTTGTTATTACTTTATATTGAAATTATTTTTCAATTATATAGAAAAAGCTGTTTTTCCTCTTCTCTCCTCTCTCTCTTTTCCTTTATTCCTGTTATTTGTCTAAATTAATTAAATTAATTAAATCTTATGTATGTACATATTTAATTACGCTGCACATAGTATGCAGATGAAAAGTACGCTCTCTTTTTAGTGGATCTCATATTAAAATACTACAATTCTTTTTGTTGCTGTAATACAAA